GAAATGTCTGTCATTATACCGAAAGGTTCTCCTATTCCGGCGAAAGGATCTGAAGAGTACGTCGCCGAAGCGGACTTCCAAACGGAGATGACGTTCACAATCTATGAGGGGGAACGTGCTCTTTGCCGCCATAACCGGTACTTGGGCGAATTCGTTCAGGAAGGCTTCCTCCCTTCGCTGGCAAACGGGAGAACGGCGTCGCAGGTGGCTATGGAAGTGAACTACGATGGCATTCTTTGTGCGACAGCGGAAGCGACAGCGAATCACGTGGAGGTTGGAAGCAAGGTGGAATGCCGCACAGTGCTCCGCAAGGACAACGCCCTTGCTGCGGCGGTTCCCAGCCAGGCCGATCCCGATTGGGAAGCGAAGGAAAAGGCTTTAAGGGCGACTTTGCTGTCGCGAAAAAATGTCCTATCTCTAGCGTGGGAGATCCGGGAGAATCAATTTCGGACGATGTCTGAAGCGCAAAAAGCTGAGGTAACTAAGGTGTTGAAGTGGTTGACGAGCGAACGTAGACCTGCACCCAAGAGTGTTTATGACAAGAAGCTCTCTGATCTCTCCCGCCTGCAAATGCGAGTCCCCAAATGACATCGCTGCATTCGAATAGTACGACGTGCGGTAGGTAGGTAGGACTATCTTCTTCAAGCGTAGATTCAGGACGATCTGCTTGCAGTAGCGCAAGCTCTGCGAAAGGTTCCCTTTGTAATCGATTAGTAAGCGGGGTCGTTAGGACGATCTTCCTGAAGCATTGTCTTCGTCCTCTCTATCCAGAAGTTCGACTTGCCTCTCACTCTTCCACACCTCGCTCTCCTACCCCTCTCTGTACTTAGTGTGAGAGCATCCCATCACCAAATGCGGAGGCTTCCGACGGCAGGAACCTACTCAGGGGAGCTCTGGACGACCTTCTTCAAGCTTAGATTCAGGAAGATCTGCTTGCAGTAGCGCAAGCTCTGCGAAACATCGCCTTTGTATTCGATTAGTAAGCGCGGTCGTTAGGACGATCTTCCTGAAGCATTGTCTTCCTCCTCCCTATCCCAGTTCGACTTGCCTCTGAGTCTTCCGCACCTCTCTCTCCTCCCGCCCTCTTTCCTTAGCGTGAGAGCATCCCATCACCAAATGCGAAGGCTCCCGAGGGCAGGAACTTACTTAGGGGAGCTATAGCTGCCAGGGTAACCAGCCCTACCGAGGAGAGCTCTTCGGATTATTTACGAGAGCGAACGGCATGTCTCATCTACCTTCCATTCACTGAGCAGATCTTCGTCATGATGACCCTGTTTTGTGCCACTTCTATCCCGACAACCTGGCACCATGAACCTCTCCCTCACTATCTCAACTACCCCGCCAATAATATCCCCTTCGACTCGCGACAGTGTCGCATGGAGAGTTCCCATATTCGGTGCACCAAATCCGACCGAATTTCTTTCGGAAATAGCTTTCGAAGTGGTTAAGTGAACGAGACCGGAAAGGGGGAAAAGGAGGACGATAAATCTGCACTCCAAGGTGCTCACGATAGGTATGTCTATCGTCTCACCCACCTGAAGAATCGCCGGTTATTTGATCTCGTGTGAGATGATGCTCACACGAGTACTTTCCTGGATGTATCTGACCGCTTTTTCACTAGAAGTCCTGGTCGCACGTGACCGCAATAACGTCCACAGGTAAGATGAAATGGTTATAGGGTGAGTATATGCCGTAAAGACCGAATCAGCGGTGTTTCTATACAGATTTCCGGGCTTGGTTGCCGTCTCTCTCTCTCTCTCTCTCTCTGTCTCTCTCTCTCTCTCTCTCTCTCTCTCTCTCTCTCTCTCTCTCTCTCTCTCTCTCTCTCTCACACACANCTCTCTCTCTCTCACACACACACACACACACACACACACACACACACACAGAGACACACACAGATGCGTCGAGTTCCGGTTGAATCTCATTTAGAAAAGTGCTGTTGCGGGTAGAGCCTAACATACGTCGGCCTTTTTTAGCTTTCACGCCCTGTCGACTATTCTCTTTTTTTTTTCTTCTTTTTTTTCTCTTTTTTTTTTTCTTTTTCTTTTCCCGCTTCCTTGGTAGGTACATGAGAATAGACCAAGGTACTTGAGAATAGCCGGAATAGCCCTTCCGGCTATTCTCAAGTACCTATCAGCGGGCCTAGCTTAGTTGGCAAGCCCATCAACTGTTGAAATAAGTGCGCGCGAGTTCGAATCCATAGGCAATTAGATGACCACCAGAATAAAATCATTCTGAAGAAACTTGAATCGGTCAGTTCATTGGGATGCTGATATCCCAAGGCAGCGTCTTGCCGGATCCATGGCCCTTGTGGTCCCAACAAACAACGGAAAAAAAAAAGAAAAAGAGGAGGATCTCTTTCATGTCGGTTTCAGACAGGTGAAGAGCTACGAAATTCCGTATGAACACTGTTTTTAAGTTGACATGTCCGGCGAAAGTCACTTCTAAGTTTCTGTACTTGACTCTACGGGTTCTTTCCAAGTGTATCTGACTGCAATTGCTTCCGATCCTGAATGAATCTGACTTCAATCACGTCCAGTGTTAGTGTAAAAGGTCCTCTTGTGAGTATGCCCTAATAAGGGTAGCCGTGGTTGTAATAAGGTACTCTGCGAGTCAGGTCAACTCGCACGCGTCTTGAGTAGCAGGGACACAAGCAGGTTTGATAAGCTCTTGTGAATAAACGGGGAGAAGGATGCTATTGCTAAGACCGACAACAGTTTTGGATGGTTATTATTCTTACTACCCTTCAATGAGCCGGAGCCAAGTCTAGCTTGGCGAAATTGTTCATTCTGACTGTCTTTCTTTCTTTGCAATCTAGGGGGATTCTAGGGTAAAAAATGAAGGATACGAAAAAGGGTTAATTGCAAAAATATTGTGTTTCCTAACTTTGACAGCAAAAATATCGTCGGGTCCAAGTTTCCCTTGCAAAAATGTATGTTTGGCAGCAGCTTTACCGGGGACCAAGTCCCACTTGCAGCAGTTTAGTCCTCAGTTCGGGACCCTGTGTTTTGTGCGACACGTTGCCTGACCGCTGATTCACATTGATCGTAGGGAGCATGGTCCGTTATGTTTTTCTTCGAACAGAATGGATTGAATGTTGCTATGTAGCGGTTTCCCATTGGCTGTTATAGTCGGAATGAGCTCTTTCACTCGCAGGGAACGGTCCTCGTCCGTAGCCTGACCCCAGTCGGGCTAGACGTGGGGACCGTCCATCGTCTTGTAATTCCACAGAAACTAAAAGTTTTTCCCGACAATGCCGCTGCCATACCCTTGGTTACCAGACTGACCCGCCTTTCATCATTACTGTCATTCAGCACGTTCAAATCCTGTTATTTTTCCCGATTTAACCCGTGGTTTGTCAACCAGCCGCACATTGCCACATGAAGTCACACAGTGTCATGCAGTACTGGCTACGGGAACTAAACCGCTGCAGGTGGGACTTGGTCCCGGGTCCATCAAGTTTCGCAGCAAAAATGTCGCTTTTGCAGGACTTCGACAGCATAGGAGGCGTCGGCCTCTGGCCTGAGGGACTCTGGGACTCAGGCCTGAGGCCAGAGACCCACCATCAGGCCGGTAGCGGTACCGGCCTGGACCGAAACCTATTGTCCATGGCCCGAAACGGTACGGGCCATTTGATTTTCCCCCCGATTTTTTCGCATTTGCACTCAGCCGAGTGATGTTCAAAAAATCTGAACGTGTGAACCCTCCCTCCCAACGCGCGCACGTGGCAAGTGAACCGTCCCTCCCAACGCGCGCACGTGGCAAGCAGGGAAGCACCGTGAAACGGCTTGAGAGAGAGAGAGAGAGAGGGAGAGCCACCAGCTTCTCTGCTTCGCACTGCTACGTTCATTTCGACATGAATCTGGCCGAGTGTACGCGCTAGATTCAGTCGAACTGATTCTAGCACAAAGATGTGGCCAGGTTCGTCCTGAAATGCCCGTGTAGCACACACACACACACACACACAGAGAGAGAGAGAGAGAGAGAGAGAGAGAGAGAGAGAGAGTTGAGGGGCCATTCCCGCTATTCACTTTTGGACGAATCTGGCCACATCTACCGGCTATATTCAGTCGAATTGATTATATGAAGAACACGTGGCCTGGCTCGTCCCGAAATGCCCGTAACACAGTCACACACACACACACACACACACGCGCACAGAGAGAGAGAGAGAGAGAGAGGGGTCGGGCACGTGGCACTGTGCGCCACGTGGCAGTGCCTTGTGCAATTTTTTTCTTACGCTATCGTTCGTCTTCTTCGTTTTCTTTTCTTCTTCTTCTTCCTCTTTCTTCTACTCCGTTTTCTTTGGGTGGAGGGAGGGGGCAGGGAGAGAGAGAGAGAGAGAGA